CACGTCCTACATCTCTATGCTACATTACCAATACAATTAAATACACTTTACACACGAGGCAATAATTGTTACTAATGACCTTAACTAATTGACTGTACTATACACATGATTATTATTGCAGCTACTTTTAACTTTTAAGTATACTTGTACCGTTTATATAACCATATGGTTTTGTAATAACTGTCGTACTTATTTCTTGTTATTTGGAGCATGCGGAAATTTTCTTTCTAAAAGCCTCACTACACTTGTTCAATATTTAGGTTTACTTGCCAACACAATGCAATTACAATCTCATATCACATACAATCCATAAGAGTGTATAGTAGTTGTTTAATTTTTAAGTATATTTAAATATCATGTATAGAAGATTCCGTTAGTTTTGTATTGCGTGTTTAAGTCCCATGTAAGTTGTACCCAGGAAGGGACGCCCATCGTGTACATTAAGACTTGGATGTCCAATCGGACAGTTACATTAATTGTAGGAAACATTAATCCAATATCAACATACACTTGCTAAAATAAGCCTAAATCTAATTTAAAAACAAGCATTTGATCGTTGATAAATTGACCAGATGTAACTTTTGTAACTAGAATGGACTGTGCAACCTGTATGCACGCTGAAGATTACGTCGGTGCGTGAAGTTTTCAAATCAATATTTCAATTTGATCTTTGTTTCGTAGACATCATCTAATTTCTTGTGTAAACACGATGCGCGACAGCATTTCCCACTGGGACTTATGTTAGACAATTCGGGAAACTCATGTCCCTTGACATTATGCCTGATCCTAGCCCTCCACCCTTAAAACTGAGGCACAGTGTTTTCACCACGATTTAATTACCCTGTTGAGAATTTACAAGGTGTGGATGTTTCCTCCGTCACGTTATAGATATGACAATTTGGAGATGATTGACGTTCGCACACTTTTTATGGTTTAGGTGCACTTCATTGTCCTGCCCACCTTTCACTCGTCCGCTATATTGAGTTGGGTTTCTACCATACTTATTATCCAGTACTATGTTAGCGCTGATTAGACATAAACAACATAAACTTATATAATATACATATATTAATGTGTTTGTAAATTTATATTATATACTAATGTATATATATATACATATTATTATTAGTATTTATATGTAAAACGAAGTCAAGAAAAACAGGCGGTTGACTTTTTTCAAGATATATGAAATTTATTATTCGAATATTTCGGGAGCTAATAATAATAATAATAATAATAATAAATTTAGCCACTGAAAATATATCAGTTATTGGCAGTATTGACTAGGAAATCTAGTTGGCATATTACATCTTATGATATTCTTATATTAGGCCTATATTACATTATATTAAATTATATTATGTTATGTTATAGGCCCAATATATACATATATATATATATAACTGACACTATGTATAATTGTGTGATATACCGTACGTGAATATATTGGCATGCATATGTATGGATGTGTAGACTATACTACTATATATATATATATATATATATATATATATATATATATATATACAGTATATATATATATATGTATATATGTATATGTATATATGTATAAATTATATATATATATGTAGGCATATATATAATTACATATAGTCCAATAAAATGAAAAAGATTAACTCTTTAATATACAAAATTCAATTATCTATTACATTTAAACTCTGTATAAATTTTTTATCAAGTTATAAATATTATATTACATTAAATTTATAATGTAATATAATATAAATATTATATTACATTACATTACATTACATTATTTATAAATTTAATGTAATATAATATTTATATTATATTACATTATAAATTTAATGTAATATAATATAAATATTATATTACATTAAATTTATAAATAAGCACATGTGTTTAAATAGGCCAATATGAAAAGTATGATAATATATACCGGTACCCTATAATGCATTTTTGTTTGTATGTTAATAAAATAATTATACAGACACATTATTTTTCTTGTTGTTAGTCAATTTACTAGAAGTACTATATGTATACGCTGTTGGTATTAATGGAGGTACCTAAATGCCTTTAACTAATTAGGCTAACTAATTATTGTCTATCCATGGGGTATAAAATGAACTATAGCTAAACTTATACATTAATTACTGTCTGAAGTACGTATACAATTAGAGTTAATAATGATATATACTTGAGTGATACATGGATAATTTTATAGTTGGGTTTGCGTTCTTGAACGAAGACCCGGTTTTGCATTCTTGAACGAAGGTCCTTGTCAGAATTTATTCGCAAAATATTGGAATGTGGATTTCTCGTTAATACTAATAAAGAGGCAGATGGGTGTTGATCTTTTCAGGCCTAATCTGGAATTAATGTAAGAAAGTAGACGATAATAAATTGATTAGACCCTTGTTAACGCAATAAAAAGGCGCGAAGTGTTCCACACGTATACTGTTGTATAGTTCTGTTCTCTGGTTTCCTGAACATCTGCGCTGCTGTGGTGTAGAGAATCTGCCAAACACTGAAGCTATAGTCAGATGTTTAAAAATAAATACAATACACACATTGGTCAATCACCTTTCAAAAAAATTACGCATCTTTCTAACAATGAAGGCATTTAGACCAATTAAATATTTTTAATACCTTAATTCTATAATTTTCAAATGGATCTTTATCTTTGTGGTAAAGATATTTGCCTTTTCAATTCAAACTAGGCCCTAGGTTCAATTCGTCGATATATTGTGATTCCTTTTTTTCCCACGACTATAATACATCTTCAGTCCCTTACTAAGCCTTATATGTTGGACTTAGCTGCTATAGGCCTGCATTAATTGACTCCGTGGGAGAAGATAACATTAGCTTGATATTGAGCTTGTTCCCCATTACATTATAAAAAAAAAAAATTAATGAAGACAATTTTTTACCAAAGTCAAAGGGGAGAGTAAGGCCCCTTTTCTTGTTTTTTATTCATAAAAGTGGCCACTGAACACACACCCACACACATACAATCGTAAAATCCGTTAGTACACTACCGTATCATAATTAATGGACACTGGCCTGGCCTAACTAAGGATAGGTTTACTATTCTCATCTTATATTAGGATAGGCCTATGTTGATTTCTTTCCATTTATGGGAGAGGGTGGTGGGGTTTGTCGCTGTGAAAGTAAATGAAAAGAGGGAAGTGGCCTAAAATGAGGGAAGAGACGAACACCTTTAACCTGAATAATCATCTAATTGTACCTATTTTCAACTCATATGGGAGATGTAGCCATCGTGTTATTTTGATATATATGGCCTATATTTTTCTTTATATTCAATAGTGTATAAACGCTAACTAATAACATTAAGCAACGATTAAAAAATTGTATTAATTATATTATCATAAAAAGTATCCTATCATATTGTTAGTTTGTAAATACCGGTATGTAATAGGCATAATGATAAATAATGATTTGTGCTTTTATAAAGCTTGTAGAAGACAAACTAGGGCTATTCGTATATTATTTCAACATTAAATATACTGTATCATTATATATATAGGCCACCGCAAGAACTGTATTGTGATAAATATAGGCCTATTTGGCATACCGGCAATCATTAATTTTTTTCTGCTATGCCTCAATACGGAGCGTAAATCGTGGCCCTTTATGATATAATGATTCTTTACACCGTTAAGGTGAAAAAGGTCATTTTTTATTCTTAATTCATTATCTTCAATTTTGAATCTCCAGGAATGTATTTCTTTAAATTTACTCCATAAATACCACAGCCCAGTCTTTTATGATTAATAAACTGTTAATGGGGAAAAAAGAGGAGATTAGGATTTTTTGATATTTTCTTAATCATCGAAAAGAACTGAAAGCTTATCAAATACACCTTTGGAATAACAGCGCCGGGATTCTACATCACTTACTATAAATTTCAAAACCTTAACCAAAAATAAGAACCACTTTATTAATGTAGTATTCTGCTTATCATTATTCTGTTTATTATTGTTCATGTTCCCATTTTATTATTGAAATGTCAATACGCAGTATCCGTTAATGGATTTTTGATACCGCATGAAGCATTTGTCATTACTTTCCACAATGGCACATAACATTCAGCGCGTGAACCCCGACTATAAAATTAAACTTCTTTGTAAGTCTATTATTGTTCTATTGGTACATTAATCGTAGGTTGGTAGACCATAATTGGATCCACTCTCTTGGAGAATCGTCGTCTTGAGTAGTGTTTGAATTCGGACAGCTTTTCAAAGTGTAATTAGTCTATAAATTTCATGCCTCCTTAGTTGAATTAGTCACACGCTGTTGGATATTGCCACGGTTGCTGTGTACAGTACTTGCCATCATCTTCACTGAACAGGCATCTAGCCACTATACGGCTTGCTTCTCACGTGTAATTCCGTCTCGCTGACGATAGACCTATCCACATAACAATAACAGTTAAATAATAGAACAATATCTTATATAACTTATTTATTTTAAAATCAATCAACGACAAAATTATGGATCTTAATTGCAATTAATCGTTATGATTTGTTGACGCGATTAAAAGTTATACATTGAAAAATGCTGCAGCAAATTATGAAGTTATAGGGAACGTAAATTAAGTTGTTATTTAATCAACATGTAGGCCTTATGCTATTATTCAGACACAGAGTACTGTAACGGGAAACCGTGAATATAAGTACATGTAACGAACTCTTTGGATTCATTTAAAGTCAATTTAAAAACTCATTTATTTCAATCCATCTAGTCTACTCTGTTTCCACGTTTATCTACATTGTCTTTTTAATAGCCATTTAGGCCTATTACTCTACAACTTAATTAAATGCATGCTCTATGTATACTTTCGTGCCGCCTTTTATGATTTATTTTGAAATTGGCGATAAAAATTTTCGTTTATTATTATTATTGTTGTTATTGTTATTGTTATTATTATTATTGTTATTATTATTATTATTATTTAAGAGTTAAATATTAAATAAAAGTCTTGTTTTATCTTTCAGGTGGAATAGAAGCAACGACAACAACTCCACCCCCTAGCTTCAACAGTCAAAAAGTACAATGCACTTTAAGAAAGCACAAAACAAACAGAAAACCAAGAACCCCATTCACAACTTCTCAACTATTATCACTTGAGCGAAAATTTCGACAGAAGCAGTATTTATCAATTGCAGAGCGGGCAGAATTCTCGGCATCATTGAGCTTAACAGAAACGCAAGTGAAAATCTGGTTTCAAAATCGACGTGCGAAAGCAAAGCGACTTCAGGAAGCAGAGTTAGAGAAACTAAAGATGGCAGCGAAACCGATGTTATCCGGCGCATTAGGTTTACCGTTCCCAGCCGCAACTTATTACACACACAGCCATCTTCACAGAGCACAGATTCCTTTTCATATCCCAGCGTACACTTATCTTCCGGGCCCTACTCCGTCAGCAGGTATAGTGTTCCCCTATAACACAGGGGGATACTAAAACGAACATTTTCAGACAATTTTAAAAGAGAGTATTAATTTATTATCATTATTGTTTCTATCGAAGTCAGCCCATCGAAGAGTAGTAGCCTATTGTCCGTCCGAACCTCTCCAAGTTCATCACGTCCTATTTTTTGAATAAAATCGGATTGTCCAGGCAGATATCAAAATTATTCAATGAGTTACCGGGCCAGAAGCAGCCATGGAGGCAGGTCAAAGAACGCGTGCATATGGACTTCATCTCACATACTCACGACTACCCTCCCACCGATTATGAAAACTATGTAAATAATATATAGGTAAAAAAATGTAAATAATATTCAATGTAGAATATATATTGAAAATGTAATGATTAGTTGTGTATATGTTTCTGTAAGATTGCCAAAAGAAAGCGTGTTTAGGTGCTTTTTGTATGTAAAATATGACGAAAAACAGGGTATTTAAATGAAGGTTTAAATTAAAAAGGTTTGAAGAAATTCCTGCTATTTTCTCGAATAGCAATATATGCTGCCGTCTTTATTGAAATAAACAGAACAAATTTGAGGAGGAGTTACTGAAATTGTATCGTGTCTATAGCACATTCTCCATTTTATTCCAGAGATCTACAATATAGAACCATTGAGGAAACTAACTCCTCCATGGTAGAACCATTCAATACACAATTTAATATAATTTAGAATATTTAGTATCAATAGATTTTATCTCATTTACAATTAATAATAAGTACCGTACTTTTCTATGCTTATATTTATCTCAATTATAATTACTTTTTTTTCATGAATCTGTTATCTGGAACAAATTGGAAAATGTTTAATTTTATCAGAAATCATTATTTATAAAGTTTCTATCCATTCTAATGCATCATTTGTCTTTACAAGAGATTGAAGATGAGTCTCGTGTAATTTGATTTGTTTCAACGAATGTCACTTGTATTTAGACAAACATAGCTTTTATGCGTATGACCCTTTTTTGAAGTTTACCATTAAGTTAAATGTTAACTAAATTACATGACCGTTAGTCGAATTTCCGCTCGTCAATTAACAAGAACGAAAGCCTCCTTTGTGTATAATGACTTTTTTCGAAGTTAACATTGTGTTAAGTTAATCATTAACTAAACAATATTACCGTCCTATTTTCTTATTTTATTGATAATATATGTTTGAATTAAAATTCTATCTGCACATCACTCGGAACAGAAATTTGCTTGAGTAAAAGAAAATCGAGTCATCACTAATAGTATCTGATAGATGACATTATTGTAGAACCATCCAACCAATACTAATCGGTAGTTGCAAATCTGAGTAGCACGCAGATTTTGTTGGAAAATGCTTAAAGCCTAGGCCTATGTATATATTTTCTGGCGACGAGAAGCCACTCAACGCTTAAGTGTTGAGGAAAGACCTCAATTACCAATTGAGCCGATTTCCCACTCGTTTATTAAGCGGTCCTCAATCCGTTCACTTGAACGCCACAAGTGTTTCTTATGATTGATGCCTGTTTACAAAACAATTTTGTCGATGATTATCTTTACATAGTCAAATTACCGTTGCTCATCAATCAGTAATTGTAATTGTAGATTAATACGATTACTTGTTGTCAAGTGCATGAACGAAGTTTTCCTCAACTAGTCCTGATAAATATCGATTAACAAATCAAGAACTTGGACTACCGTTGATGCTATAGATTAAATAATTTCACAAATCGATTTTTTAATTGCGTAGTAAAATAACATTACGACTAAGTAAGTTTCGTATTATAATACTGTAAACAGTTAAAGTAATGAAGCTTCTTATTTTAAATTAAAGATCGACAAAACACCGTAGATCTTATTCTATTAAAACACTCCAAAAATAGATCGGGGCCTAATAAGTGACGAATTAAACGGAAAATGTTGCTACGGACGTAATAATTTTAAGTAAAAAATATAAACGGGTTGATTATCCCTCCGAAAGAAAGGAAAAAATGACCGACAATCAATGTTGATTATTATTAATCTATTTTGTTGCTGAATTTCATATTATTATTAATATGACGTACGACTTTATTGTGTATACGTATTGTGACTTGTGCAAAAGGTTCAAGAAGTTTCTTTGTAAATTTATTTAAGACAAATGTTCATTAAAAGAAAAATGAGCTATGAATTACGACACTCTCTTGTGAAGTTTCTTTTAATGTGTTTTAAAAGATAGATCACTCTTCATTTAAATTTCTGTGGTATGCCTTATAGATATACTGTCAAGTCATTGTCACATAGGTCTCAATTTTCAACTATATAATAATAAATCACAGTTTAAAAAATCATTTTCGATTATTTATTTAGACGTTTTACTGCAAAAATCATTACATTTGCTGACAGAAATGTTGTGGTTATTGCAAATACTACCTAGGCTATATATATCGGGAGATAATGGAGTTCTGCGTTGTAAAAAAATAAATAAAAAATATATAGACCTATATTTAAATATAATATGAAAATAAAAACAAATATATAAAAAGGCAGAACCTAACCTTAGCAGGTTCCTGTCAGCCTACTGCTGCAAGAGATCCTATTATTACCAATTCTACTATAATGTGGGCTCGTATCAATAAGCTTCATTCATTGCTCTCTGATTGACGGATTCAATTTTGGAAATAAAAATTCAATTTGTTAACACGTTTTATGTTTACATAACAATAAAATAAAAATTCAAGACTAAGCCCAAACAAGGAAATAAATAGGCAATGAATCCTGAACATTTTTTTTGCCCCACAGTTTTCAAACCCCATTTCCTGCTGCTATCCATTCAACATAAGTCTATATGGATGAATAATTTTAAGGTCAAAAGTTTACGGCATTTCACATAAATTAATGTTAGGCCTATTGTATAACATTACATAGTTGATTCTCTAAATTGAGATTTAAGCATTGCAAAAAAATTATGCATTCATATCATCTTTGACAATTCGTGTGGAACTGTATAAAAACGAATACATATAGGCCTGTATTCATGTATATTATTATATGTATATATAAATGTATATATGAATGTATATAATAATATAGGCCTATATACAGTACTTCTAGATGAGTATATTATGTAAAATATTATTAAGCCATAAAAAGGTCATGGGTGAAATCTAGAATAAAGTTAGAATTTTTCCTAATTCGCCTGGAACTATATTAAAACGAATGCATATAGGCCTATATTTATGTATATTATATATCTATATAAATGTATATATGAATGTATATAATAATATAGGCCTATATACTTCTAGATGATATATTATCTATGATTATATATCTATATAAATGTATATATGAATGTATATAATAATATAGGCCTATATACTTCTAGATGAGTATATTATGTAAAATATTATTAAGCCATAAAAAGGTCATGGTGAAATCTAGAATTTTTCTTAATTATAGGCCTACGTCCTAAAAAAGCTTCACCCCACAAGCTTCATAATAGAACTCGTTACAGACCTAATCAGCTTCCCTGGAAAATCAACCTCGTTAAACCAGGGAGGTGCACCTCCCCGAACCTATAAAGGCCTAAATTAATAATGTATAAAGTATAAACGTTGTCGCTATCAAGTAGGTTTGCGGCAGATTCCATTTATGGACAAAAGACAAATATGTCACTTTGATATTACCCCTAAAATAATTCATTTCAAGGTACTGTAGATTTAAATTGTCTGTAGTGCCCCTTAAGATATATAAAGAAATTGGGTATTCGGATCCTTCACAATGGTTCCTGAGTCTTTCAGTTTTTGAAAATGGGTTGACTGATATGGAATGCCAAAAAGGCATAGACTAGGCCTAAAAAGTATTTAGGTTAAGGTGATGCATATCTGTTGCACGCCTCAGTAGAAAATCACGAGTGCTATAGGCTTCCATCCGGCTTTAAATATACATCGTTTGCATATCATGATAAACTGTAAACAGGCCCGATTCACATAATACCACATATACAGTATATAACCATACGCTTTCGAATCTCCGTTTTCCGAACATTTATTTCAACGTTAGCCGAGTGAGGCCGATTTGACGCACTGTTTAAAGATTGGAATTCGGTGCGAGACGGACCGTGGCAATGATGTACTGGCTTTGTTCTTGGTTAAGACACATTCTCGTCCTTCGGATGGTACATTAAGCCGCTGGTACTGCGTGCATAGCACATGCGCAAAATTATCTCTCGGTGTCCTGGCCATAGAAGGCGCTGCACTGCGGGTTCCGTCGGTCCCCTGGGCCTAATCCCAATTTCCCTTGTTGATTGTTTACAAGCATCGTCATATTCACATAGGACTTCAAACATATCCTATGTAGTACGTGTAGAACCGTTTTGGCAACCTGGTAACATGAAACTGGGTTGAGTTAGCAAAGTTATTTCATTAGCCCTGAAATACCACCTTAATTCAGCGTCTCTTTCACGGTGATTAATAATGTTCTACATAGTTTGAAGCTAAGCATGTGCGTATCATATGTTTTTGTCCACATAATATTTGTAATTTGATTTTCATTTGCATCAAGTTGTATTACATGATAAGTGTACAAATCGAATCGTCTTCATTCTGAAAGCATCTCGTTTTTTTCTTTTTGTACTCAATAAATAAATATCAATTCCGATTAGATTTCACAACCGCTTTGCGCTTTTGAATCGAGATCGGGAAGAGGTCGATAACGCAATCATCATAATCGTAAATTTGGATCAATTACCGATACGTGTATCACGTGACATATGGAGCACGTCACGTGTACCGCGTGACAGCATCCGAGGAAAAAAGTAATTCATTCTTCAATAGTCATTAAGAGACATTAGAGTAGAAATTGAATCACACTAAAATTAACACCTCTTTTATTTAAACACGATCAGGACAAATACTAAACTAAATTTGTTATTCTACTCTTATACAGTTTGTAATAACTTATTTGTGTTGTTTTTTCAGAAATAGTTACTTGCTTGTCGCTTTCGGAATATTATCTAAACATTACAAATTGTACTCCGTCTTTTGTTCGCGGACTCTATACACCTATGATAACAAATTTGATATCACCGATGGAAATATAAAATAAATCAATATGTACAATGTAAATAACTGTGGTTTATGTTGGCTAGTTCAACAGCAGATACAGTCGTAACAATGACATTGATGAACGTTCACGAAGATCAACTGTTTGCGAATAATACTTTCCAAGGAATTTAATTTGTTTATGATTCTAAATGTAGGCTCTTGACTCTTTCTTGCTCCCTGTCGTAACGTTTACGGTAGTTAACGATGTCTGATTTTTAAACTATTGTGTGCTGTACATATTAATATGTTTTTATATCGTATTATATAAAGTATTATATATAAGTCTATATATACAGTATATATAGATAGGACAATTTGTATCAATCAAATACAAAAATATAGAAAAAACGACGATTGCGTACGTAATTGACATTATACATATAGATAAATAGCACAGTCATATATAGGCCTATATATGCCTATATATATAGACCTACCATATATAGGTCTAACATAGGCCCTATATATAGGCCTAATATATATAATATAATATAACATAGCTAGTATGATATAACATACATTTTTTTGCACTCGCAGATTTCTCTTCTTCACCGTACCACTTTAGCGCAACGAATAAACGAATAGAATTTTTATTACTAATGGGCCTATTTTGCATTTTTGCGTCTGTGTAAAAAATCCCCCCAAACCAAACATATCACGTGCCCCTATTATGTAATTGAACACTGGGCATGGTGGAAGTGAACATTTTTCCACTGAATTCCTCCCAAGAAATTTGCCGTCTACGGAAATCCTGAGGGAAACACAAACTCTTTGCAGTGACTTCGAACTTTAAACTCATATTAAAGGACGATAAATCAAATCTTTAATACTGCACAGACAATATTATTGTTGGTATTATTTATGATATGGACAATAAAACTGAGTTAGATTTATACGGATAGTGAATGAGTTGTAATACTTATTAGGCCTAAATGGCAACAATGAAAGGTACAGATAAACTCGTTACATGTATACTCCATGCAGATACGGAAAGAGGCGCAAATGTTACCAATTTCCCGCACTTCAAATTCTCTACGGCTATGTTTACGTTTTGCTCAATTCTATATTTTACTTGTTGCTTGTTCTCCGTTCCATACCCTGTTTATAAAGCTACGATCAGCTGAATGTTCACAAGAAGGTATCGTGCATTTTGTAATTGCATTTTCTTTCTTCTAAATTGATAAAATAAACGTAGGTTCACAAACGTAAAACCATGCATTTTAACTTTTAAATCATACGAAAAAATGCGAACTAGGCCGGCATCTGGTTGCCAAACAATAATGTGGTTATAAAGAATTATAGAGAATAGGCCTAGAGTATAAAACAGTATTGTTTTTTCTTTTTGGGATACGAAATTATAATATTAGGCCTATTCTTATTTGGTAATTTTGGGGAAGTACTCACTAAACAGAAGATAACATGCATTGAAGTGACAGCTCTGATGCTTAATCCCTCTGGGATATGCCTTAGATTATCATGATCCCTACGTAATCCCCTTTAACACACGGGCCAGGATAAAAACCGACCACCAACTATACCAACCAGCGACAAATAAAGTTTGTATTGAATACGACAAAGAAAGTATATATAGAGGCTATATATACATATTTATATATATATATGTATACGGTATATATATAATGGGTGGCAGACATGAAAGTACTGCAAGACACTTTGAATTATTTGAGACATATAATGACTTAAATTGATATATATATATATATATATATGTTTATATATATAGAAACATATATATAAATATATATATATATATATATCAATT